CTGGTGGCATCTGCCACAGGGGACTTCATTTGGGGAAAGAGTGATCTATTCTCTTTGGTTTGGTCAGGGGCTAGGGCTCTCCTCGCTGACCTGTCAGTGTGTGTGTCTGAGACCTCATGCCAGAACTGACTGACTCAGGGATGGACATCTCACCCAAGCTGGGCCAGACAGAACCTCCCTTGGGATTTTTCAAACTGGAGTTAAGAAGCCTAATTTCTCTCAGGAGGCAAAGTTATGAGATGGGAGGCTCAAGACTTCTGGGCTGCTTTGTTTGGCTACCTTGCGAAAGTAGAGCCAGGCCCAAGTGGGGCAAAGGGCACAGGCAGAGTATGAGAGCTGCAGAAGCATTCAGATCCCTGGACTACGTTGTTCTTGAGGTCCCACAGCTCCTCTTTTCTTCCTTTCCACACATCCTTCTAGTAAATTCCACCTTTGAGTCCAGCTCATTTGAGTTCAGTTTCTGATATCTGCAACTGAAAAAAAATCATAAAAGTTATGCTTTTAAATGCTTTAATGATCATCACAGCACTTGCTATTTATAATTCCAATTGACCTTCATTTATACCACTTCTCATAAGAATATTATGTTCATAGGTTGGGAAATATTGCTGGCAAGCATGTGAGATAATAGGGATTTTTTAAAACTTCGCTTTGTCAAATGTAACACCCAAAAACAGAACAAAAATGTACCTCAGGAGGAATTATCACAAAATTAGCACCTGTGTAATTGTCATACAGAAAAAAAACATTGCCAACACCCCCAAAGCCCATCTCATTCCCCCTCCCAATAGTTACCATCTTTTCCCTCCAAAAGGAATCAAGCTCCTGACTTATGTTTCACTTTCTTATTTTTTTTTTCTGGTTTTATTACCCAAGCATACATCCCTGAGCCTTTTAGCTGAATTCTGATGTTTTTTGAACATTTTATAAATGAAGTCACACAATACAATTTTTTTGGATCTGGATTCTTTTGCTCTGGATCATTTTTTGAGATTCATCGACCAGTTAACTGTAGAAATAGGTCAGTTTAAAAAAAATTGCTGTTTAGTATTCCATAATACGGATGTACAATCATTTGTTTATTCTGTTGACAGACATTTTTTTTGCTCTTATGAATAATGTTGCTATGAATATTCTTAGAATGTGAATACATGCACATTTTTTTTGAGTGTATATGTGATAGAATTGCTAGGTCGAATATGTATTTTTTTCAGGTGAGTAAATAATACCAAATCATTTTCCTAAATGATTGTTACAGTTTAGATCCTACCAGAATTTTATGAGTTTCTTTTGTTCCATATCCTCACTAACAATAATTGTCAGTCTTTTTAATGCTAGCCATTTGTGTGGGTGTGCATGGGATCTCACTGTGGTTTTAATTTCACTTCGTCCTGATTACTAATGAAAATGAATTTACTTTTGTACATTTAATGGCCATTTGTGTGTCTTCTTTCATGAAATTCCTGTTGAAGTCTCTTGCCAGTTTTTCTGTTTGGTTGCCCATAGTTTTCATTGATTTGTAAGAGCTCTTTATATATTTAGATAAGAGACCTGTTGGATATGTACGTTGTACACATCTTCCATTCTGTGGCTTTTTTCACTCATTTAATGCTGTCTTTTGCGGAAGAGATTATTGACTTTACAATATTCAGACTTATCTACTGGATCTGAAAACAATGCATCTAGCAGAACAACTAAACTAAGCAGAAAACGAATTTCTCAATTTAGTAAAATGAGCTTACACAGGCTCTCCAACCAAAGTTGCACATTCTTTCTTCGAAATGTTGTTTCTGAGATGGCATTTTATTTTTAAGTGATTGAAAATACCATTATGTTACAAACCACAGAAATACACTACAGTATTTAATTCTGCCGCTTGGTGGTGTCATGGAAAACTAATAATAATAAAACTACTGTTCTGAAAGTTTGCGGAAACAGAAGGGCTTGGCTATTAGCAAATTGAAAAAATAGTAAAAATTCACCATAAAATCTCAGGTTTATTTATATCCAAATACAAAACAAGAGTAGCACAAATAGTATTTTTAATGAAGGAAAATTTCAAGCATCTTGAAATGCCAATGTAACTAAGATCCCTATACCTACTACATAGATAATAAATGTTAACATCCTGTCATATTTATTTTAAAAAGTAACTAAAAATAAAGTTTATTTTCCTTTGTTCTCCCATTTCACTGAGCTTTCTCTTTTCTCACCAGAGACCACCACTGTCCAGAATTTGATGTGCCCAGTTTTTGATGGGCAGAATTATCTGCCCAGTTGTTTCTCTATTTGAACAATACAACTGCTTGTTGAATACAACTGCTGCTTTGTGTATTTTTCATGTATATACAAAGTGTATCTTTTTCATGTTTTAGTGTACTGCGATTTGTTTTACATTTAACATAGTGTTTTATCATGTTGATACGTACAAATATATGCAGATATTTATAGATCTAGGTCATTACTTTTAACTGCAGTGTTGCAATTTATGGGAAATATACACTCTTATTCATTCCTCTGTCAATGAACATTACAATTTTGCAATAAATGCAATGCCTAGAACAAGATCTCAGATGTAATAGGTCCTCAACAAATTTTAAATGAGTAGAAGCAAGCCTTTAGAAGCAAACTGGCAATAAAATATCTCAGGCAGACTAATTTTTCCTTCAGTTCTCCAGGTATCGTTTACCCTTAACTGCATACGAGGCAGGAGTCATTCCTGAAATTTCCAAAGGCTTTTTATCCAATCCACTGAAAAACGCTCCGCTGTGCTGTGCTTGCGTGGTCAGGGATGGGCGGGTAGACTGGGTAGGAACGGACACAAAGAACTTCAATGGTAAAATAAGAGAATGGTTTGTCAGGTCTGACGCAGGGGAGGATGGCGGCAGCAACCGTGAAAATTTGGGGGAGGTCTGAAAGTTTACAGGGCAGGTCCAGTGCTACCATATTCGGATAACGCCTCAACGGGATATAAAAGTCTTTTCTCTCAATGCACTTTCGGAAAGATGTAACCACCAAACGCCGGGTGGTTACCATGGGAACCAGCAGGGATGGGGGTGGGGCGTCGGCCAGAATTCATCACGAGCTTAGAATATGTCTTCTTCCGGTCCTCGGGTCTTCGTAACCACCGCCCCTCTCCTCAGTCCCTGCCCATTCAGTGGGCTCATCACTTTCTCCCGCTCCGATTGTCCCCTATCCAGTTCTACGGTCGCCATTTTGGACCATGCGTCAAGATGGCGCCCCCTCGTCCCCGAGGCAAAGCCCAGGCCGGCCAAGAGGCTGCGCGCACACGTGCTCGGGCGCGGGAGGGCGGGGTGATGACGCCAAGACGTCTCTCCGCCCCCGGCAGCCGCCCCGCCCCCGGCCCCACTCCGCTTTCCGCCACCCGGGCGAACCCGGAAGTGGAGGAGGAGGCGCGGCGGCGGTGGCTAAGCGGCCGGGCGCTGTCAGAGCCGTACTGTGGAGGGTGTCTGGGGTTGGGGGCGGGGGGTGGGGCTGAACGGCCTGGGCAGCCTGGCCTGGACGGGGCTGGGGAGGTCATGGCCTCGGCTGAGTTGCAGGGGAAATACCAGAAGCTGGCTCAGGAGTACTCGAAGGTACCCATCGTGGGCGGGGATAGGGGGTCCCCGGCCCTGCGGCCTCGGGTTGCCTAGGCAGCGACTTGTCGGGATCGAGGTGAACAGCGGAGCGGGCACGCGAGCCCGCCCCTTCTCTCTCTTCTCCTCTGTCCACCATTTCTGTACTTCCCCACCTGCAGCTCCCAGGAGATGAGGCTGGGCCGTGTCTGGGTCCTTGTGTGTTTCTGCGGCAAGGAGCAGGAGTTTGATGCTGTCCTCTCATTCAACTAGCGGGCTTGGGACTGGGATGTCAGAAATCCTGGCCTCTGCGTCTAGTGCTGGTCGGGAGGGGAAGGAAAAGGTGAAGACCATCCCACCACTGCTGCTACCTCAGTTTTCCCAGCTCACTGATGGGAAAGATAAAGCTTTCTGTTCCCACAGGGATGCTAAGATAAAGAGATGTTTCTGCCCCAGTCAATTCGGGAGGGGAAATAGAGTTGTGCGTGTAAACTGTTTCCCCCGAGATGGGTGATTACAAGTGTATTCGATGCTTGGTAAGATGTCTGGAAATTATTTTGAAAGCCTCAGTGCTAGGGATGTGTCATTTTCTCTTTTTTCCCTCGGTCAGCTGAAGCGGGGCAGAGAACCCAGCAGGTGCTCAAGTACATACTGAATTAAGCAAAATAGGGACCTGCCCCTTTGTCATATTTATGGCATCCGTTTTTTAAATGATGGAGCCTTTTCCTTGGAAAAGGGCGGTGCTGCTTCCGGGTAGGATATTTCTGCCTTAAGAATATTCTAATGAAGTTATAAAAGCAGAATCTTAACATCTTTGGAAATTGATTTCAACAACCATTAAGCTTAGTTTTCCGTAGCCTGGCATTCGTGGGGGCAAAGGGAAGACAGCCCCTATTTTACAACTTGGAGCAACGGACATTTTTTTCTTAGGATTTCATTTCAGCAAGGTGAAAAGAAATATTCTTTGAAAAATAAAACCTGTGTGTAACATATACACAAGTCTATTTACCATAAAATGGGAGCCTTTTGAGATACTACTCTTATTCCAACAGTGCTATCACTTGCAAAACCTCTTGCATTTCCATTTGAAATTGTCTTAAGAGCCTGTGGCACAATGATGGTGATGGCAAGTTTTTAATCCTTTGAAGGAATATTTTCTTGTTTAAAAGGACCAAAAGTTGTTTGGAACAAATAAATATGATGAAGCGGTGTGGGTGGAGAATGACAGTATTTATAATTGGTTATACTATTTTTGGGTGAAAATGTTTCATGAGTGTAAAACAAGGGCCTGATTTTCTTCTCCAGAGAGTAAACAAGCTCAGAAGGCAATTCCAAATGGCAAAAGAGATTTCCAAAACTGTTTGAACAGTGACTACATTGCTGAAATAATTGTATAGCCTCCCCAAAAGTTATCACAGTTATAAAAGATTTTACTCTTTTGGATGTATAAGCTCTTTCATTCAAACAGATGTTTATTATGTGTCCCTTTTGAACAGTCTGTTGAGTGAGGCAGAGTTCCAGTTTGAGGAGAACCCTTTAATACACGTTCAAACATTTTGTCTAATTATGATACAGTATGAGGAGTGTTTGGTCAGTGGGAACACAGAAGAGATGGAGGGTAAGGGAAGAAACTAAGATACGGGAGTAGGGAAGAGGGAGGGAAGGATGTAGTGTCTCCAACAAAGGGAATAGGCTCTGTTTGCTGACATGAAAGCACGTTACAATACACGGCAGAGAAGTAATTTGGAGAGGTAATTTGGACCTGATCATGAATGGTTATGGGTAAATAAGAAGTTTGAACTCTACCTTTTGAGAAATGACGAGATGGCAGAGGTTCCTCCCACACCCTTCAAAGGTTTTTAAGTGGGCATGACATTACTTTTAGGAAGGAAAAGTAACAGTGAAGGATGGATTCAAATAGGGAAAGTCTGGTGAAAAGAAGACCAGCTGTAGGCTGTTGAAATAGCTTTGGGGAGAGTAATACAGGATTAAATAAAGTTAGTGACTGTTGAGTTGGAGATAGGGGCCTAGATTTAAGAATTGTGGTTAAAAAATACTTTTTAGCTGACCTCTTTTTTGAGTGTTTCTTTTGCACATAGCACTAAGCTTGTGTCTCATTCATTCTGCGGGACATGTGAGTGAGGGAAGACTGAGGGTTGACCTTGAAGCTCTGAGGTTAGGGAACATGACTGCCACTGACAGATGAGGGCTGCCAGTTTGGAGTGGAGCATGTTCAAGGTTAGATCCAGTCATAGAATTTTAGGGTTGGAAGACCCATTAAAGTTATCTATTCATGTAGCAACTTGAGCAATCCCTGGAATTTTCTAGTGGAGATGGATTGGCTGAAAGTCAGGGAAAAGGCAAGAGCTTTTGGAATAATTTCCATGAAGATGGTAGTTGGACTGCAAAAGTTAATCGGGGTAGAACACTTTAGGTAGACTCTCGGGGGACAACCTGTGGGAAGGATGTGACAGGAGGAGGAATTGCTAAGGAGACTGTAGGTCTGCCAAACTTGAGGTTATCTCCCACATTGGGCCAGACCATTTTGCATCCTTTAATTGCAATGTAATGGAAATTTCAGAACCCAAGGGAACAGAAATTGGTCAAAAGATTTCATGTGCTTTTTATTTCCAGTCAATTCTAGTGTCAAGCAATATCTAGATAAGATGTTTGATACCTTCAGCGCTGTGTCTATGAAAGAGGTGTTTTACCTTTTTATTACCTTCCCTGGTACAGAAATTGTGGGCTGATGTTGAAATCCAGTTACATCTTTTTCCTTATTTAGGATACAATGGCAAAAGATTTTTTCTTAATCTGTAGGAGGAGGCCTACATATCAAGAGAGCAGCAAGCATGATTCCTAAAGCAAGGATATTTGCAGAATCTTCTCATTCTTGTTTAATGCAGATCTCAACCAGTGTCCCAGGAAGGAGCCCATTTCTTGCTTAAGAACTGTGGTCATAATCTTTCCTTCTGAGAAGGAAAACAAAACGAAACAAAAAATGGTTTGAGGAGCTCTCCCATTAAAGAGTTTAGTTAGATAAAAGATAAACCATGAGAGAGCTCAAAGCAGATGAGAATTTCTGAGGCAGACAGTTTGCTAAAATATAAAGTGTTATGGAAAGGTCAGTAAAAGCAGAGATTAAAATTTCAGGTTTAATGAAGTTTTGGGGAGGGAAAAGGAGGGTAGAGGCTGGTTTTCAGAGGTTTCTGAAATTAATAGGTAATGGATGCAAGCTGCCCCTTTGAGATGTGAGGGAAAGTTAATCAGTTACTACACTGTTGATTAGGTATCAAAGACAGTTTCTTCCATGGTCTGCTCTCCTTCTGATGCCCTGGTATGTCACATTATGGAGAAGAGAGGCGAAGAGCTCTGAGTCCAGACTCCTGTGATTTGAGCCTGCATTGTTTGCAGGAGCTCTTGCACTCTTGTCTGGCATCATGTTATGTGTCTAAGCAAGTTTCATGTTCTGTCTTCCCAATGTCTGTGTTACTCTGGGTTAGTCGTTCTCGAAGTGTGGCCCCTGGATCAGCATCATCAGCATCTGGGAACATGTTAGAAATACAAATTCTTGAGTCCATCCCAGACTTACTAAATCTGAAACTGGTGGTCATACCCTGCAATTTGTGTTGTAACAAACCTCTTCAGTGGTTTAAATGCATCCCAGAATTTGAGAACCATTGCTCAAGGAGTGGTATCAGTATAGTAGTTTTTGCTCAGGTAAAGATAAACGTTTTAAAGCTCTTTTTGAGGCACTAAAAACCACTGGGAAATTCAAACATACAGTATTTCTCTTACCAGTTTACTTTGCAATGGATGCTTCTCTTAGTTTTGAAGGAGATTGATTGCCTTTGGAAACTTTCAGGGCTTATGCTCTTAGTATAAAGGTACTCATACTGGGAAAGGGTCAGTTCTGATTTGGTGTGTTTGCTTTCCAGATTGTGGGGCTTGGTGAAACCCGATTCATCGCCCCCTTCTGAAAGAGACTCAGGAGCTAGATTAAAAATGAGTTATCATTTGGATTAAAATCAAGTATCAGCCTTTTTTTTTTTACCCTGTTAGAAAACAGCTTTGTGTTCAGTGCTATCTAATGGAACTTTGCATGAGTGAAAATGTTCTGCATCCATGCTGTCCAGTAGGGTGAATGCTAGTCATGTGTGGCTGCTGAACACTTGAAATGTGGCTAGTGAGACTAAGGAACCGAATTTAAGGTTTTATTTAATTAAAATAATTTAAATTTAAATAGTCACGTGGCTAATGGCAGCCTTGTTGGACAGTGCTAGCTTAGCCCCAAGATCAGTGCATCGTAATTGTAAATGTCTGTGTGACTTATCTGAAGACCTTGTTGAGTTGCAGATTCTAGTTCAGTAGGTCTGCAATGGGTGGGCCATGAGGTTCTGCTCTCAGTTGATTCTGTTGCAGCTTTCTACAGACCACCCTTAGAAGAGTAAGGCCTTACAAAGACAAGGGGTGTCCTACTTTTCCAATAATTTAACTGTCTCACTCATTTGGTCACTGATCAGGCAGCTAGAGGGTTGGTGGTGGGGTTTTGTCTCAAGGAATTTCCCTTAAGACAACAAACAGGGTTCCCTTTGAGGGCAGGTCTGAGAGGAGAAAGTTTTTTTTCCTGTCTCATTGACAAGACTCCAACCACTAGTACTTGGTACTACATAACCTACAGATGCTTTATTCCTTTCCAAGGGGAGGAACAAGTGAACAGGAAGAGAGAAAGACTAAGTGGTATTCCCAGCACTTTGCAATTCTTAAATTGTTGGAACTGGAAGGAATTTTAAGGATCATCCAAGTCAGAGATACTGAAGCAGGAGTATGCAAATGACTTCAGTATTTTGAAGCTTCAAATCAGGGCTGTTATGTTTGGCCCATTACTCTGTAATGAAGAAAAGCTATATATTTAAATATTTGTTTTACAGACCTATAAAACATGTATGAATGTTAAAATGTCCATTGCATGAAAACAGCTATGTAAGAGTGGTCCTAACACAGAAGATTAAGGATCAGATGAGGAAATGCATATATGTGATTCATCTCTTTCGCCAGAAACTTCTAACAGCTTGTGATTGAAGGTAGTAAATCCCTAATCTTGGGCCAATTGTCTTATCACAGATTGTCCAAATGGCATGAGAGAGATCATAGTTGACTCTCTGTTCCTAGAGAAACAGCTTTATGATAAGCCTGACAGGCTGGGCTGTTCCAGAACCAAAGTTACATAGAGCAGTCTGGATGCAGGTCATTTGAGAGTTTGGCTCAGGGCTTTTGAGGATTCTTGCTGTCCAGTAGGGCCATGAGGTTCAGATCATTTGGCAAAGGGCCAGAGAGGGACTGTTAATGACAGCTTCTAATAGTTGTATAGTGCATTACATTGAAATATTGAAATACCTTTTATATGTAGTATTCAATTTGACTAATAAGCTAAAAATGTATTCAGTACCTTCTCTATTCATAGCATTGATTTTGCACTGTAGGCAGGAGATACAAGGAAGTATACTAGAGCCTCTACCCTGAAGGACAGATTAGGTGGCAGATGGCGGATGAGTATAGAAGTCACACATAAGTTACTAAATGTAAAACCTAGTACTTTAAAGAAAAATTTAAACCTGAACAGTTTAGTAAGGATGTTACTAGTTAAGTGCCAAAGGAACTGAGGGACAAGTTCACTGTAGACCATACGGAATAGGTAAGAAAAATTTATATAGGAAGTAGGCTATAGAACAGGGAGGATTTGGTTGGTCAAAATAAGGAAGTGCTGTGCTTTCAAAGTAAGGGTAAAGCTCATCAGATTACAAGACAGTGAACAACGAGGTTTAAAAGGTCTGAGAGAGTTTCAGAGCTGGGATTCAGAGCTACTACTCCTTTAGTGAACGGAACAGAGTTGCTCGGTGTATAGCTGTTGTAAGTAGGCAATATCATCTGGGGAGTTCTTCTTTCCTAATAGAGACTTCAGGGCGGTTGTTTCTCAGTTATGTCCACATGCACTGGAGTCTGCACGCTTACCTCCTAGAGGCATTAGTGGCCATCTGGGGCTTTTGTACCTTTTCTAAAACTAAAACATTGTATATTTGCCTCCCCACCCCTGGTGAATGCTGGTGAGGAGAAGATAGATTATCTAAGACCAGACTGATCAGAGCAGTATCAACATTTGACAAGCAGGTTCAGAAATGCAGAAGCTTGGCAGTAATGAGGCTCAAGTGCAGGAAAATGCCAAATACCACTAAGGGTAGTTAACTTGGCAATGGTGTTTGCTGAGTTTATCATTGTCATCCTTTTCTACCTATTATATAATAGAAAGTTATTTTAGATAAATATTTCTAGAAGATTTACATTTTCTGTTAAGCAGTTTCATTGAAACCATATTTGAATTAACAATTTAGTGACCAATATTTTCCAAGGAAAATCCAAATCATTTTTCATTATAATAAGACTAGATTCCAAGCAGCAGTGATTTGAAAGTTTGGTTTTGCTTTTTAACAGATTAGGCTGTTTAGGTTGCTTTCAGTAGCTTTTCAGTGTGTCTTAGAAATGAGAATTAGGTTCTTCTTCTTTTCGTAATTGCTGTGGTCCTATAGGAAATTATCAGCTAAACACCACAAAAAGAAGACATGTAAACGATCATAGATTAAAGTTAGGACAGGGGCATGAAGTAAAACCTAAAGACCCAAGTAGTATTGCTGCCCTTTGGCTGTATAAGTTTGAAAGTATTTACTGAATTCTGTTACCTAGGTGGCATGTTATCCAAGAGTATGGTGGGATATTGCTTAAAAAGTAAAATACTATTTGGCAAAAGTCAACATTCAAGTGGTATTTCTCTCTTTGGAGCTTCCAGAGCAGAGGTCCCCCAACTTTTTCTGTAAAAAGCCTCACAGTAAATATTTTAGGCTTGGGGTCATATGGTTTTTGTTGCAGCTACTGGTCATTGTAGTTCTAACACAACAATAGACAATACATAAATGAGTGGGGCTGTGTCCCAGTAGCACTTTACAGTAGGTAGCAGGCCAGTCTGGCCCACAGGTCTTATTTTGCCAGCCCTAGAGAACTTAAGATCTTTACTACTTGTAAGTAGCAAATCCTAGTATTGTTAGTTATCATTTATCTTCCCCTTTAAGTTATAAGCTCTTTGAAAATGGGGACATCATCTTTTACTTTTTTCTCTCATGCATATTATGTAGCACAATGCCTTACACTAGCCAAAACTATAGTATATGTTTTGGCCGTTTGATTCTATTCTAGTAATAAGAGCTCTTCTTCCATTTGTGGCTTCCATTTGTGGAGCACTTTATGGTTTAGAAAGTGCTTTGACGTAGGTTCCTTACCTGATTCTTACAAGAGACTCAGAAGAACAGTAAGGTAGACACATTCATTCACCCATTTTATAGACCATTTAACTGAGGCTTAGTAAGGTTAATTTCCCAAATTTATATTGCCTAGTAAATGGTGGAGCAAGATTTGGGTCTTCTTTCTGTTGTGGTAATGAACTGTGACCTTTAACTTTCTAAAAGTAGAAGCTCATTTTTTTATGTCTGTCTTTTGTTCAAAACTGTTAAATATCCTGCAATATTCCTGACTTTCTTAGAATCTTTGCTAAGTTTCTGTTGAGTGTCTGATTCTCAGTTTAAGGTTTAGTGTTAAAATATTCCTGTTGTCACACAGAAAAGGGTTTTTCTGTTCTCAGAAGACAGATCTGTGCTATGCAGAATTAGAAGCAGGTTTTTTTTTAAGTTCTTAACATGAAATCATCTCTTTGTTCAGTTTCTCAGAGAAGAATCTGGTCTTTTCTTGGTGTCTATACTGAGCCCTCAAATATTAGCCTGTAAACTCTTGGCTTTGGCTGCACTGGACTTGTATATGTGTTTATACTTACGTGCTCTGTGTTATCCTTGATGAGAACTTTGCTCTTACTATGGAAATGGATTTTGTCTTTTAAAAACCTGCTAGTAGTGGTTATATAGATGTATACATAAGTAGAAATTCAATGTGCCGTATAATTTTTGATTTGTATTCTTTAAAATAAAGTTACACCTCAATCTAAGAAAATTAACTCTGAAAAAAAAAAACCAAGTCCTACATCTTCAAAGGCTTCTCCCACCTCTGCAGCCCACCTCTTTTTTCATTTATATTTAACTTTATAAAATAGTAGACAGTATTGTCTAATGGCATTATGACTCAGGATCCCAAACTGCTGGGGTTTGGATTTCAGCATTGCCACTTCTCTGTACCTCCATTTGCAAATCTGTGAAATGGAGGTAGTTATAGTACCTACTTCATAGACTTGTGAGCATTAATGAGCTAATACATGTCAAGGTCTTAGGACAGTGCCTGGTATGTAGTGAGCATTCAAATGGTAACTGTGATTACCAACTTCTAAGGTGAGTCTCTTCTTTGTTGCTTTTTGTACACTTGCCTCAGCTGATGCTTCATAGAAAGAACTGTGTACTGAAAGTTGAGAAATCTAGACCTTGATCTTAAGACCTAGACTCAATTTTGCCACTGATTAGTTTTATGTCATTGGGCAGCTCAACCTCTGGGTCC